GCACAAATCTGTTCTTAGTGTTCTCATTGGAGAAGACAAAATACACACAGTTAGCACTTTGACACTGTAGTATATCTAGGAAACATGTTAAGTAGCTTTTGCACCACTGGACACAATACCTGACCACCCTAAACTTAAAGGAGGAGAGGTGTAGGTTGGTTTAAGCTTTCAGGGGAGTCAGTCCATGGTTGGCTTGCTCCAAAGCAGAAACATCATGTTGGAGCAAATATGATTAGTTCATTGTTGGTAATATTCTGGCCTTTTATGTCTTTGTTGACCTCATGGGTTAGACCTACATTTTATATGCAAATTTACTAATGTAAATATACTTTATGCTTGAAAATATACTCTAAATAATGGAGTCATTATTCTCACAAATCTTCAGTTGCATCTTCATTTTTTCCCTTCATTTTTGTGTTTTCTTATTGTTTATTCTTTTCCCCTGTACCTTTTCCTCTCTGGATCCTGGACATTGTCTTGTTCTCTATGTTTTGCAGTCAATACACTCTACACAATACCCTCTTCTCTTCTTCTGTACTAATAAGCTCTAGGCATATAAACCTTTTTCTTTAGTCCTATAAATCTACTGGCATCTATCATCATCCATGGAGTTTGTATTTACTTATGCCATCAAAATTTATTTTTTAAGTAGGAAAGAGCTGCTTCTATGCAATGTTACTAAAAAAAAAAAAAATTCTTGATTTAACAAATTTTAAGGCCATTTCAGAGCAACTATGGTTCAGGTAAAAAAAATTAAACACATGATCAGTGGAATGGAGTAGCTAGCCCAGAAGTAGGACTACGGACTTACAAACTCGATATAGTTTCAATAGCGTATCAGAAATCAGTGGGAGGGATAGCTATTTGGAAAAAATCGATCATATCAACACTTCATATCGTGCACCAAAAATTGCTTCTGGATATGAGTTTTAAAAATGAAACTGCACAAGAGGAACAAAATTCAAGTCAAAGAAAAAATTTCTAATCACTGGGGCAATAATTATAGTATGTATAAAAAAAATTAGTCTTTCATTTGCACTGAAAAAATTTAATAAAGGGAAAATTTTATAATGGCTACAAAAAGCAGGACATAAAGTCGAGTGGTGGTATACTCTTGTTACATGAAATACAAAGGAAATGCATAAAATATTAACTATATGCTGTCTGCATTGATGAATTATGATGCTTTCACTTTTTGTACTTTATTGCCCAGGACAGTAATAGTGAACCTTTTAGTTTTCAGTGATGCAAACAGCCTGATTTGGTACACGTGCCAAAGGTTTGCCAGCATTACCGCCAGCCTAGGGTATTGTTTTAAGATAGTAGCTACACATTACTTTTAAATTTAAATAGATCTTTAAATAATCATAGAGGAATTAGTTTTCAAGCTGACAACCATTAGTCAAGAGATAGGAAGATACCAGTTCTGGCTTCACTGGTTTCAATTTGGTAACATGTAGCATATACGTGTATGCTTATTTTCCAGAACCTAGTAATTTCATAAAGGGTACCCTAGGAGTACATACTTCCCAAAAAGCCACCCAAAAATTCGTTTACAAGACAGTTAGACTAGGGGGTGTAGCTCAGAGGAACAGTGTTGCTGCACGCATGGTAGGCCCGGAGCTTGATCTCTAGCAATTGAAAAAAGAAGAGCATATGATATCTTTGAAAAACCCATATGCTAAAGTTTTTATGAAGAAAGGATCTCACAGAACTTTGCAATCGAGTGTGCAGTCTTCAGATTGGCAGCCTCAGTAACACCTAGAATCTTGTTAAAAATGCAGATCCTCAACATCTACTTTTTACACTCACTGAATCAAAATCTGTTGATTCACAGGTACACTGGTTTGAAAATCACTGATCTAAAACATAAATGCCTGCTCTGTCTACAATATAACTGTTCTTTCTTTAAAACTTAAATCTGTGTTCATATACTAAAGAGATCTGTAGTGTACAAGCTCTAAATATTTTTCTTAGAACAAAGCAGCAATGAATGGGAACAATGAATGCATAAATTCTAAAATTCCACTAGTAGATCTGCTCATAACTTGCAACATATAGTACCATCACTAAAGTACCACTAATGGTACTAGCTATATCATCCTACAGAAGCTTGCTTAATCCATAATGTATCTGAGGAAAGGAACCAACCCTATCTTACTAATCATTTTTGATGGGATAGTGTATTCCCCTTCTAACAGATTCTAGGAAAGCCTGCTTCTGAGTACAGGACTTCCCCCAAAACACAACGGTTCCTATGTGTAAGAACTGGTAGTCTTTCTGAGAACATTTTAAATACAAGATTACAACAGATTAGAAAGACAACAGTGTCAAGGTTTGCCATTGACTCATTCATATTTTCTCCCAGATCACTTATCTTCAAAGGTTTGGAACAAGATTGTGAATAAAAGGAATGATTTTAAAAAGATGGTGTGTGTCTAATTTGCAAAAAAAAAAAAAAATTTTAACAATGAAAGACACTTTGCCAGACTCCTGGCCTCGTAGCTCCCCGGAAGGAGGGCTTCCGGCGCACAGGGAGCCACGGGTGGGGAGCGCCAGTCTTCCGGCTGGCTAGCTTCCTGCCTCGTAGCTCCCGGAGGGAGGTCTCCCAGCGCACAGGGAGCTATGCGGAGGCGAGTGCTCTTGCGCGCCGGCGCTTAGGCCGACCGGGGCCGCTCAATTGAGATCTATCATGACACAGAGAAACAGTGACACAATTGGCCCACCATGCACCAACTGGGGTTGCCCACCCACGGATGTGTGTGAACCATTGAAACTTTGAACAACCCCTGGGAATCCATGCCGTACAACTGGCCACTCTTGCTCCTGCCATTGAGAACCAGAAAGGTCCAGAGCCAGCCGAGGAGCAGCTGCTGAACAAGGACTGGGAGAACATGAGAATGCAGACTAAGCCCACGGAGTTGGAGGTCCTGTGGACTCGGGTCACAAGAGCCGCTCAGAAGCTGTAAACCAGGAGGACCTTGCACAATACCTGCAGAGACTCATTGGAAGCCATTCTTCCCCTGACAGTACAGGCTGTGGTGGAGCTCCGCAGAAGTCTGCAGCAGGATTCCTGCTGCCTGTGCTGACAGTTGGGGAGAGGACACTTAACTGGTTGTGGGGGTCCCAATGCGATGGGAGGCTGGAGAGAAAACGCTACAAAAAATGGCTTTCGCCCCAGACGGCTCACTTGATTTTTGACAACCCCTAGGCTGTAACTACTTGTTAGATCCTTCGTGTGTATCTCTGTCTTCCTGAGAAACCACTTTGAAGATACCACCATGTATTACAGCAGTCATTGATATTTTCCTACTAATCTATCTATAACTCTGTAATGTTTGTATTGTTCCTATCCTATTTCATAAATGGATCCATGTTTATTATTATGTGTTTCCTACAACCATCGAGAATTATTGAATGATTATTCAGTAGGTCACTCAAGTATAGTTCCATTTATATTCTTTAGAAGCCACTTTGAAGATACCTAAGTATAGTACAACTATTGATAATCTCCTACCTCTTTTGTCTGTAACTCACTATCATTTGTCTATTTGATTTCCTGAGAAACTATCTTATAGATAACAATATGTAAAACAATAACCATTGATAATTTCCTACCACTTTGTCTGTAATTTGGTAAGCCCCTCCTATTATTGTTATCCTTCTTTTACTCTTTAAAAAAAAAAAAAAAAAAAAAGACACTTTGCCATTCAACCCATCAAAATACTTGCCCTTGCTTTGAACACATTTATCCCATCATACCTGCCACTTTCTGAAGCAGTTCTGGAAGTTCTTTTTTATGCCTTTTGCAATGTGTGATAAAAAATACAGTGCATGCTGCTGCCAAAGTGTCAGCCAATGGAAAGGCAAGACTGTAAAAACGTTATGGTGTGCCCTCAACCTCTTTATTCACCAAATCTGGCAAAATGAGACTTCTGGCTCTCCTGCCAAGTCAAAATGACTATGAAAGGTAAAGGTTTTGAATTGATTCAGGACATTGAGTTAGCTTCAAGAGTCCAACAACAGACACGTAAGAGGACTTCCAGAACTCCTCACAAAGTGGCAAGAATGATGGGACTAATGGCAGTGAATATTTTACGGTAATGTTTAATTTAAATACCCACACTTTCAATCATACTTCCTATACAAAGGGTATAATGGGAAATCTAGGTGTGATGGGTACTGCAACTAACATGTAAAAGAAATTGTTAACATGAATGTATTCTCTAGCTTGTTTATGTGTTGAATTATCATGCAAATGTACTTAACTTCATTTGCCCATTTCCAAACTAGCAATCCAAAATTCCTGATAGGTATTCTAGAACTGCTATTATTTATAGACTATGACGATTTTGTTATTTTAAATGTGGCTAACTCTGTTTTCTGTGTGTTTAAGGCATACTTTTGTCTTAAAAAGGACTTCCTGGGATGGAGATGTAGCTCAGTGGTAGAGTGCTTCCCTGGTAAGTACTAGAGCCTGGGTTTGATCCTCAGCATTGGGAAAAAAAACTGACTTCTGGGATGGAAGTGCACCTCAGTGATAGAGCTCCTACTTAACATGTGGGAGGCTCTGGGTTTAACCCCCAGCTCCAGTAAACAAAAACCAAAACCAACTGACTTCTTGGTAGGGACACAGGAAATTTAAATATTACCTTCTGTGAGCATAAACCATTTTTGATAATGCAAGGCCTACAGAAAAGACTGAATTTCTGTGCCAAGCCTGAAGGAAGGGTCTGTACCCGCTGGAGATGGAAGAAAAAGCCTCTGTTTTCTAAGATTACAAATTACTTCAAAATAAAGAAGTCACATTTTTGTTTTAGTCAGAGATTTCAGAAGATATATTAAAAAGAATCTTTTACAAATAATTAAATTCAAAGATGCAGAATTCATTAGCTGTTACAAAGTATAACTTAATTTTCCCTAGATTTTATGCACTTTAACAGAAATCAAACTTATTTTCCAAAGTGACAACATAGAAATACATATCAAAAATGCCATTATAGTTTTAAACATTTTTATTGCATATTTACAATGTATGGAGCATTATAAGGATTTACAGTAGAAGCCAAATTTCCCAGCCCTTAAAAATCTAATAGGAAAGACTGGATAAATCATACACAAATATCTCTGAATATGGGCACTGGAAACATATATATGATTATAATCTTACAGGCTAATACAGGTGAATGCTTTACATAATAGAACCGGCAGGAAGGATTAAACACAGTGAAGAAGAAAGTCATCAGAGTGTAGTACTGTACTGAATAAAAGAGCAACATTGAAAATATTATTTTTAAAGGCTAAAATGTCCTGCAAAAGCATAGCTATCCCCTATGCAAAACTGTGAGGTAGAATTCTTCCCACCCTGTTTTCTGCTTTTCCGACCACCATCTGGGGGATGTCCCTGTCCAGGAGACTCTCTCACACTGTTGTACCCGAGGACTGACTACTGGTACGTGTTTTTAAACTACCGCCTCCAACTCTACAAACAAACAGTATCTCTTTACTCAATGATGAGAGTCTTATTTTACTTACTGAAAACGGGTGGCAAAAGTTAGTAATATGAACAAACCAGTGCTGTTTCTTCTAGCTAATATATCACCATGCTCAGAGCTTAACCTCTCAAGGAGAAAAACTAAAGCTAAAATTTCAAGCATAGCAACCTTTTGAGGAGCTGTTTCGGGCAGACAAGTCTTTGCTTCCCTCAAATAACTATTAACCATGAATGAAACCATTTCTACCCCAAACCTACTTCTCCTAATATTTCAATATGGATCATAAAAAATAGCGTATCCCTTTCTAACACACCCAAAATATAAAATTCAGGGACAACTGCATTGAAAAAGAAATGTTTTCTTTCAAAACTACTCTATAATCAATCAAACAATTCTAATCCTATTTACCCAAGAGAAAAATAAACACTTATGTTCACATAGACCTATGTAAGTATGATCACAGCAGCTTTATTTATAATTGCTGATCCTGGAAACAGTCCAGGTAGCCAAAAGGAAACTGTGTAAACCAACTACAATATACCATGAATGGAACACTACTCAGTCACAAGTGACTTAATGGGTGAACTAATGTACACCCAGCTATGTGGCTAAATCTCCCAATCACTATGATAGTGAAGAAGCCTTGCAGAAGAGTATATGATATGATTTTATTTACAATTAAGTTGAAGAACAGAAATTCTAACTTATGGTAGAAAAAAGAACAGTGGTTACCTCTAAAAGTTAAACAGACAATAAGGATTGACTGGAAAGGGCCACATGGGAACTTTCTAGAGTGCTGTTTTCTATCTTGATAGCACTATATGTATTTGTCATATGCTGAACTATGTAGTAGGAAGTGTAGGTGTCTGGAATTTAAATTCATTAGAAATCTGGACTGATGAACTGATGCATACATGATAAAGCAAGGATAGTTAGTAACTAACATCTAGGCAGTATATCACAAAATTATTTTTTATATGCTTGAAACTTTTTATAATAAACACTGGGAAATACACATTCCTAATTCCCTTAATAAAACACAACCAAAAATGCTGAGAACTTCATTGCTGGTCTCATACTAGCGCAATCATCAAATTCTTCCAAGTGTCAATTCAGAAACTCAAGTTCCTCTAACGAGCTTGTGAGAGGATAATCTAGAGCAGTGACAAGTGAGCATTTTAGAGCTTTCGATGATATAAACAGTCCTCTTCAGCACTCATGGCACAGGTTTGCCACCACTGGTCTAGACTACGGAAGGTAAGCAATTAGTTCTCAAATCTACTCTGGTTCAAAATTGCCAAAGTGCTATTTTAATCCTCTCACATCTGTGAAAAAAATCCATCTATTCTGATTGCATAATCTGAGCAAATTGGTTGGTCATGTGGGACTAACACCAGATTTAAGACAAACAATAAAGAAAAAAATTAAGTACAGGAAGTGACCTCACTCTAACATCTAGATGAAAAGGAATCATAGTACCATAAAAGATAAGAGGCTGGATCATGTATGGTGAGGGGCCACTGCGTTCTCAGTGGGGAGGCATCTCAATCCTCCTGCCTCTAAGGAGAGCTGCATTTGGACACAGTGCAAATATGGCATTCAACTTGTAAATACTTCTGAGGTGCCCCCTTGAGGCTTACTAGGAACCCACTTCAAAGTTCAGAGGCCCTTTCGTCAGAAAGTTTCCCACATGCCTGACTTTAAAACCCTTCATCACCACTCTCAACAGCTGGCAGATAGTGGTTATTTTTAGTTGTGTGCTAAGAATGCTTATATCATGACATACAGGAATTATATGCTATATACTGCCTTATAAAGAGTTCTCACAAAAATAATCTTGATTCTTGAAAGACTCATTGACTTTCAATTTATTTAGCTACAGGTCTGGTTTCCTTTTCATCTCCAAGTTCTTCATGTCCTGGTACAGGTTCTGCTTTTTCTTGAAGTACAAGGACTAGTGTTTATTCTCAAGCTTTCAAATGGCCTTCAACTCCTGCTGTGCTGTTGACTCACATTCAGCACTGTATCCACGAACCTTTTTTAGTCTTAAGGCTCCCCTGTATTTACGCCAACTTGTGGAATATCCTCAGTTCTGAGTCTATCACAGGACTAGTTTTCTGTTTATTATCTGTACCTGAGTTTGCCAAGATAGCTGTTCTCTAACCATAACCAGCACAAATAGTGGTCTTAATGCATGTTTTTTCACCTCATCACTGGACTACTTTATAAGTATCCCAACAGACTTATACTTTCTTATTTCTACACGTTCGTGCTGACTTATTAATACACACTCCAACTATGATTTTTACTTGTGTTTTATCTTGAGAGCTGTGTCACCCTGGCAGCCTCAGAACAGGTGATACCCCTGTCTTCTGTTTTACTGGTTCATAATCTTCCCATAAAACAGCAAATTTGTCATTTTCAAAGCCTTATTAATACTGATAAGCTCACCGACTCATAGTATCTCAGCTATGTAATTTTGAGTGTATGTTTTCCTTTGCATTAGTGAAATGGGGGTGAGTGAAGGGGAGATCAAGCTAAAGGGGTGGTCAACATAAGCTGCCACTTCTCCCACCATCCCATGCTTGCCTTCTGAGACACAGCAAGATTAAAGAATGCTCAATTTTTACTACAAAAAGATATTTACAGCAAAAGATATTTCCATTTTGTATAGCTTTTTGACTTGATTATCTTTATATGATTTAATTATTTTAATTACTTGATGAGCTCCCTATTTTATGTCTCAGAGAAATTCACTGATTTTTTTTGTATACTAAGGTCCCAGTAATTGGCAAAGGCACATTTTGAAGTCAAGTAATATATTCAAACTCTGCTATATTTACTACAGTTACTTTAGCTTTTATGACCATTTCTCTACAATTCTTGCCGCTAGTTATGCTTCTTAGGAAAACCAAGACTTTTCTGAGGCACACAATGAAGCCAAATGTTAAATCTGTACTTCATTTTGGCTCATTAAGGTATTTGTTAGCCTATATACCATTAGAGTGTTTCTATTCCCAAATAAAACTCCGTATTTCTAGGGCTGAAAGTTAACACTGGTTAAGTTTACTCATTAGGTTAGCAGCTCATCTGTGTTCAGCAAATCTTTTCAGTCCTACAGAACTTTTTTTATAGGGCCCTAAACAAAGATACCATAATTATACGTCTCATTACCAGAGATGAAGTATGTACTGGTACTTATTTCTGTGTGAATCATCTCTATAGGTTCAAGATGTAGTGCACTCTAGTAGTGACGGTATATTTAGTTTTTAATAGCCATGCTATGTTACTATAGTCCTGTGTATTGTAGGTAGGATGTGAGGACGAGAATACGTAAGGATGGGCAAGTAACTTACAGGGAAGGAAAACTCTGAATTATTTTTTCAAATGTACACTGCACATTTTCACCTAACCTCACAATCATACCACTAGTTATAATGGGTTTACATCCGTGAACATGCTTTGCTTAGCACTATCAGAACAGTAACTTTTATATGTGTATTAAGAAGTATGACACTAGTAACAGCTGACAAGGTTATGAAGCAACACACACATTAAGACTAGGTAGTATTTGGAAGCTTAATGGGCAATTTAATTCACTCTAAAGTGAAGGAAGCATCCCAATCTTTTATCTAGCAATGCAACCTAGAGTCATCATCAATTTCCCAGCTGGCAGGCTTAGTAGGTTCATCAGTATTACCGGTGCGTCACCCTACCAGAATAAGGTCACCAATAATGAGGGCTGCAAACAAAGCCAAAATGATCTAAAACAATGTTATCATGTTTACATCACAACCCCACGGAGTTAGACATGTATGAAGAACATACATCAAACTGCCATTTTATACTGAGTTTATACAGGAGCAAATATGCAGTAAGAAGGAAAAAGAGTCCCTCAAACCAAACCAAAATATTAGTCCAACCAACATTTGAGTAACTCCCATAAAAGGGCTAAAGTACTGTGGGAGGCTGTGGCATAAATAAGATACAAATGAGTGATTCTTTTTTGTTAGATTTGCGAGCCAAAGTTAATTCATGACAGAGAATGTCTGATTTCCAACAGACTGCAGCCACTCTCTCCACAGGTACTCTGAGGAAACTATAACCATACTGAAAAACGTCACTTTAGGGCATTGCTAGTTTTCATCCCTAACTCCACCTGTGCATGCAGATACGCTTACAGGAAGTGGCAGCAGAATTACAAATGAAGAACAACCTGCATTTTCTAAAAGCAGAGCTAGTTTCATGTGAAATACTGAGATTACAAATAACACATCCAGATTTTGCCTTATACTACTCTTTGTGAGCAGAAGCACTTAAGATATATAAAAATTACTTTATTCAGCAATTAGGAGTCCACAAGTAGTTGGTATAAACAAATCAGTTTCTCTTTTAGCAAAGTCATAATAGAAATATTCTAATGACTCTGAAATCCAGTAGAAGAAATATATATGGAATATAATAACTAAATATCCAAAGTTGCTACCTATGTGAGTAAAATACCAAATGACTTTCTTGTAAGTCAATTCGTTGACGAGTCAGTCCTAATTTTAGGAAATAAACACGCTAAAATATACTTCAGATTGCAATACAAGAGGGATTACTCTGAATACTTACAATAGAATCCAAGGTAGGAGAGCTGAGTGTCTATTACATATGAGCAAAAGCCTGAAATTAGAACAAGTAGGACAATATCATTCCCTCAAAAGAGCTTGCAGAATAGCAGGAGGAGACATAAACACCGTAGAACATGGTTAGCACCATAGTGAAGACTAAAAGGAAGAAGCACAAAAGCTCCTACTCATAGGAATAAAGCCCTAAAAGGCTGAGAGCATTATCAAGTATAAAAGGAACTTCCTAGATGCTCTTCGAAGCAGTGGCAGCATAAGAGGGAACAGCTGAATTTTGCCTCAGATCCTGGCATGTTTGAGTAGGAAAAAAGGTTGCACCATTAACCCAAATTATTCCAAGAGAAGAAAAGTGGCAGGTATGATAAATTCTCCTCTAGGCTAACATGTAAAGTAGGCAGCTGAAAGTGTAAACTTGGTATTCGGAACCGGACGGTAATGGAGGACACAGGTGAACTACAAGGCCTGAGGATGAGATACTTAGAGCCACAGCATTTTGAGGATGGACTCTCAGACAGCGCATGTTTAGAAGATATCTTTTAAGCAAGACTTACAGAACTATGCTCACAGTTATGGCACTGGTGTCTAGGAAAGGCTGGCCAATGGTCAAATGTTACAGGAAAAGAGAAAGGTACGGAATGCCGGCCAAGGAAAAAACACTACATTTGGTAACTGGAAACCACTGCTGACTTTCAAGAGGACAGCGTCATTACAGTGCCATGTGAAACCAGCCGGCAGGGAGAGGCAGCGCAGTGAGTGCTGGGGATGTGGGGCAGTGGGTGTGGACTTCTCCACAAAGTCCGGCAGTGAAGGGGCTTCAGGAGCCAGCAGACTCAGGGCGGCTTCTGCAGCAGAGGTTACAGGAGCCAGTCTGTGGACCACAAAAAGGAACCAGCACACGATTCTTTGCCTGATTTTATACTGATCACAAGCCTAAAATCTTTTTTACTCTTTAAAAAAATCTGAAACAAAAATTACCACAAAAATGAAATTATATGCATTTTACAATTGAAACTAAATACAAATATAAAAGGACTAGCATTTTATGATAAATTTTATTTCTAAAGGAGTTGTACAGTGCTGTGATTAGACTGCTTCAGAACTGATTTCGCCTCTAGTCTGTCATGAGAAATTAGCTGTATTAACAATTGCTATTTTAGTTCCAGAAAGATTATTCTGATATAAAGGATTAATTACACTGAAGTAATTATGAATGCCTTCTTCCTTAACCCTCCTTCCCCAAAGACAGTATCTTCAGGGTAGTTAATAATTTGGACAGTATTTTTCAAGCTGAAGAAGAGAAAAATTAGAAACAGTGTTCCATTATTAAAATGTCCTTAAAAATCTAATTTTTCACAATTATTCTTCATGATAAAACATGCTTATTTATTATATACACATGCTTATATATGAATTTCCTGGCTAAGACACATGCAATCACCATGAAAAAACAATTATTAAATCACCCCCACAATCTTAAGAATGCCCTTTTAAGTAAGGCACTCATGTTTGGAGATAGGATATAACTACCAAATTAAATAAGATGTTCATAGAAGCCTTTTATTTAGCACAAAGAAGTTTTAATACATTATCGATACAAATAAGAAAATGTCCTTCAACGAATGTAATATATCAAAGATCTGGTGGATTTTCTCCATATTGACACAATAAAAATAATCGATTCTGAAGAGTTACCAAGTAAAATTTTGAGAACACCACTGTCTACTAATAATAGTTTAATTACAATCTAAATTTACTACATCACCTGGGGAGGAAGGACAACCATTTTTTCTAAAAGAGAGAATTCCTAAACTCTTATTAGCACCATTCAAAGCTTGTTATCAGTTGTTCATCTGCAAACGACAGGTCGGGTAATGCTCCAAAGCGAGTTTTCAGTGCAATGTTTACAGTTCCTTCTTTTCAGGTACCTGGAGTCTATGGGCTCAAAGCACATTAAATAATTATGCGTTGGTAGTTGTGAGGTGTTGGCATGGAGAGAGAAATGTGGGTGGGAAGAAACGAGGCTTATCCTGCTGTGAGATGCATCTTAACGTACTGGGGTGAGTGCTGCAGTATGCGGACAACATGCAGGAGATGAGCTGCGGATCTGTGGGACGCCGGTAGCTATTAGCTCTCTGTGGACACCATTTCAGGATGTCTCATCTGCTGCCTTTTGAGACTAACTAGTTTCATCCTGTCTCTGATGTGCTCTGCAGTAGAAGCCATGTCACTTGGACTCCCAAAATATTGCTCGGTTCTAAAATCAAAAGACAGGAAAAAAAGCCCAGATTAATACAAATTCATTTAACTGCAGGGTACAAAGTACAAGCAAATATCATCATAAGAAGCATCTTTGTGATGAGGCCTATACTTAGAAATTCAGAGGCTGGGCATGGTGGCACACGACTGTAACACCCAGCACTCAGGAGGCTGAGGCAAAAGGATCACTGCGAGTTCGAGGCCAACCTGGACCATACAGTGAGCTCATGGCCAACCTGAGCTACATAGCCAGACCTGGTCTCAAAAAAATAAAAAAATATTTCATTCAGACTATACTATTTGAGGGGCCGGTGTTACAGTTCAGTGGCACAGTGCCTGCCTGGCAAGAACAAGGTCCTGAGTTCAATTCCCTGCACCTAAAAAAAAAAAGTCAGATTATACCATTTGAGTAGTAATTCTACAGGAAAAAAATTTTAAAGTGGTATAAAATATCATATGTGCTGAAGAGAAAAATGTGTTAGTGGTACAGATGCCATATCATACTTATGATACTTAGGCCTTTCAATTCTTGGTCCATAAGCATGTGCGAACATTTACTTTGTACATGTATTTGGTTAAAGATAATTATACCAACTGTTGACTACAGGTGCAAGTAAAATATCCTTTTTGATATTAAGACATAGTTTGATACATTAATAGATGAAAGTTTTTTTTTTTTAACTTGCAAGATACTATATTCAGAGTTACAAAATTAAGAGCTAGAAGAGTTTTTGGAAATTTGTGGTGTAACTCTTCATTTAGAGCAGAGAATGTAGCTCAGTGATAATGTACATGATTAGCATGCATGAGGCCCTGGGTCCCCTCCCCAGCACCACTAAAAAACAACAGCAAAATCTAAAGACTAGAAAGTTTAACGACTTAACCAAGATCACAAAGTAGTAAAGTCAAGATCTGAATCCGAGCCCTCAAGCAGTGAATCCAGAGAAACGATCAGTTTCTTTTATTTTACCAGGAGAATGTATAAAAAATAAATCTGAATAATCTTTCAAACTTTATACAGCATAAACTGATTGCTTTATATCAATAATTAGGAACTGAGATAATTTGAGATGTATTTAGTGTCACAAAATACCTAAAATCTACATGCGTATCTTTAATAAAAATATGTAATAAAAAGTAATACTCCCAAATATTAAAAGTAGGTGCTGGTGTGCTTGCTACTGTATGTTTTACCTATACTGTCCACCTCCTATATGTTTAGCTCCACAGCTCCACACTCAAGAGGGAAGGGAATAAAAACATGTAATAAAAAGTAACACTCCCAAATATTAAAAGTGGGTGCTGGTGTGCTTGCTACTGTGTTTTACCTGTACTGTCCACCTCCTATATGTTTAGCTCCACAGCTCCCCCTCGAGGGGGAAGGGCTCACCTACACATGGTACTACTGCTGGACACAGTGCCCGTCCACATCCTCCTCCTTCACGCTCTGCCACACAGTAAGGATACTCAGACTCTTACCCCACATTTCAGTTCCTCTACCATTCGAGTTAAATATCCCCTGGATTTTCTCTATCTGATTCTTTTACTGGTCCACATATTTGCTTCAAATTATTTCATACTCTCACCACTGACCACTTGAAATGGATAAAATGGTGGGATTAGGAGCCAGATTTTACACATGAAAACAATCAGATGTCATATAGCCCACCCAGCAAACAGAGAACGGGCTTGGAGTCAGACAGATATGAGATCATACATAACTCTAACATACAGCAATTGTGAAGTTCTCGTCACCTTACTTAATTTTCAGTGCCTCAGTTTCTTCACTTTTAAATCATGAGTAAGAATACTGGCCTGATATTGTTTGGTCAAAAGTAATGAAGGACAGCTCAGTATGGTAGCACATACCTGTAACACCGGATACTCAGGAGGCTGAGGCAGGAATATACCAAGTAGTATGGTTTGGATCTAAAACGTCCCCCAAAGTCTCCTGGACAGAGGTGGGGCTTGTGGAAGGTGAGTGGACCATGGAGTTGCTATACTTGTCAGTGACTTAACCCACTAATGAGCTGATAGTGGAATGTGCTGCTAAGAGTGGGTGTGTTGGGGGGTGGCCAGAAGAGGGAGTCAGGAGGGAGTGTGACCTAGAAGGGTGTATTCTTGTCCCTGGCTCTTCCCATCTCTGTTTCATGGCTGCCATGGGGTAAGTTGCTTTTCTCTACCAGGCCCATGCTGTTTCTGTCTTGCAACCAACTGGCCATGCTTGGGCTGAGCCCTGAATGAAAACCAACCTCTCTTCCTGCATGTCAAGTATTTTCTCCCAGGAACAGGAAGGTACCTAACATAAAAAGATACACACCTGAAATCCCAATTATTAGATGGTAGGCTGAGGCAGGAGGACACCAAATTGGAGGCCATGGGCAACTTAGCAAGACCTTGTCTCAAAATAAAAATTTAAAAAGTCTGGAGTATAGCTCAGTGGGAAAGCACCTGTCTAGTGTGCTTTCTCATCAATGCACATGGCTCCTTAGCATGAATGTACATGGTCCTGGGCTCAAGAGCTCTTACCAAAAGAAAAGTAATAAAGAAGTGTTCAACTTGGCTTTTGGCACATATCCCGAGTTCATTAAACATCAGTCCCTTTCCCAGGCCTCTCTTTTCTGAATGAAGCCCGAAGTCTCAATCTAGTCAGTGATTACTGCTCTACAGGAAGCTGGCACTCAACACGTTTGACATAAGCGAGCACCAACTGTGACTGCTGCCAACAGCTGAGTGTGGATTTTTCAGCTTAAACCAACTGAAGACGTGGACCGAAGTTAATTTACTTGACTTTTTTCCTTTCTTAGCGCTTCACTTTAAGACCTCACCAATAAAAAAAAAAATTATACTGCACCATACCCATCAGGATAAACCACAGGAACCGTTAACCTATCCAAAAGAGATTTCCCCACTGCTTCAATCTCATCAAATTGCTCTTCATCATTAACAGTCTCGGGCTCTTCTGGACAGTCTTGCAAAATCTGCAACAAATGAAAAAGGTGACAGCAGTCAAGAGAGACGCAAGCACATTCATGCAGAGTTAGAAAACCAAAGATGTGTTTTCTGTTTTATTTTCAGCATTTATATACATTACTGTATAAAATTATCTATGACTTGTGAAGTTGGCTCAAGAAATTCTAATAACAAAATGAAATATATTAATTCCTATTCACAATATATAATCAGAGGATAAAAAGTCAATGGTGATTTTAAGAAAAAAAAATAAGATTATTATTTGGAAAATAAGTTCAACCTATGCTTAAAGCATTCTCTCATTAGGCAGCCATTCGCTAAACACTTTGCTGGACAGTATGCATATTTAGCAACTTGGGATGTGAATGAGATACAGGCTCTGTCCTTAAGGAATTTTGAGACTTCAAAAATCAAAATGCGGGGCTGGGGATTTAGCTCAGCGGCACAGTACCTGCCTGACAAGTGCAAGGTCAGGAGTTTGATTCCCGGTACCGGAAAAAAAAACCAAAAACCAAAAAATAAAAAATAAAAAATAATCAAAATGCAAGTTTGAAACAACATACAGAGTACAAACATGTAACTGATATAAAGATCTAATTAGACATTTTATATTTAATAATATGTGCTGACAACTGGTTATAATCCACATATGATAATTATAATGATATTCACATATTGTATACATTCATATATATATATACTCACATATATTTATATATATACATATATATATATATATA